TAATAGGGTACATATCTTTACTACTACTTCCTTGAAAGCCAAATTGACTTGACACTTCCAGAAAGTTGACTGTCTCTGCTGTACACTGCTTCTTAACCTACTTTGCATCAGAACTGCTGAATCACAAAAATAAGGTTATTGCAGAAGGTGATCTTTATCTTGAAGCACTAAATCTTATACTGTGACTTGCCGTATTGTACTTTCAGCTCCTTTCTGCTTTTCTTCTAGCCTGAGGGACAGCTCTAAGCTACAGGTTTGAATTAGGCTGAGCTGATGCTGCAGGAAGCAATCAGATTCCAACTGAGTCAATTCATTCTGTCTTTCTAAGAAGGATAAACAGACTAACAAATGCTCTTCTGATAAAACTCATCTTATTATTACTGTGCAGGAATTCTAGAAATATAATATGAGAGTCCCATGTCCCATGTGTTACTGAACATGGTAATTTAGAGCTAGAAAAGATATCATATCTTCATCAAAGGAAAAGGTAAAATATGGCTTTTAGTTAGGGAAAATAGATTACTAAAGTGGAATAGGAAAGTTATAATTACAAAGAGAACAATTGAAATCTACAACAATGTTGCAGTAAGGAACGTTCTTCAGGATCCCAGTCATTTCATCCCAGGACTGCTTAAAATACTTGCAGGCTTTGTTTCTGTTTTTGAGAGGGGAATATGTTTTATTTTGTAAAATTTGCAGCTCAGTCCTGGAGATATTCCTTTCTTGTGTATTCAGGTGCTGTTTCACGGCATAACCGATGGCACTCACTGCTGGTAAGTGATAGAGGGAATAATCAATAGAATTTGTTTCCTCCTAAAGAATGCTGGGAATTAGGCTCATATGATAAAGTTGATTTCTGATAACGCTCAATTTGCTGTTACAATGTCATGATATTTTAAGATATTATAATTGTATCAATGTATTTGTGGCTATTCACTATGACAACTAAATGGAACCTCCATTTTCAGCACTAGAATGTCTCTATGTATCAGATGCTGTCAATAAAAATAGCATTATTTTCATATCTTTGTGATTTGATCTAGTGGTATCAGTTTGGTCCTGCTGGAAACAGAAACCTGGATTAATCTTTTCTCTCTGTAATAGTGAATAGTTAAGAAGATGAAAGCTTTTTCTATAAGATGGTGTAAACTGTGGCCCATGGAACATGTGAACCCCCAGCCCTATTTTCAGAGCTTCCCTAGATGACACTGCCAAAATTGGCTGCAAAATAATCAATTTGCAGCTTGCGATTTCTCAGAATTTTTGCATAAACATAAGGAAGAAAGGAGAGTTGCTATTGCATTAGTATAATGGCACCAACTTTCTACTCCATTTGTATGCTATGTACCTATCAACTATTATCTTCAGAAAAGGTCACATTCACAGGGCAAGTGTGGAAATGACTAGGCTTTATGGAAGCTGCAAGTTGGAATTAAAAGGAATGTTGCAGTGTGGTGATCACCTGTTCAGTTGACAGAATTTTTCTTCCCTTGGTTTTCTGTTTCCTTTTCTCCGCAGAATATTATGCACCCCAAACATATTGAGACTCTTTTGGGCTGTTGGAAAAAAGTTAATTATTTAGGTTTTTCCCCCTGAATACTTTTGTACTTCTATAACCTTGAGTTCTCCGAAGCCTCTTGCACAATGATAATGTCATTTTGGCTGCTTAATAATTCCCAGCAGAAACATGTGCAAGTGAAAGAGAGAGCGAGTTTCTCAGCAATTCAGTGTAGTTCCCACTTGTAAAATGTAGCATACAAAGGACTGGAAACTGGTGATATAATTTTTCAATACAGAAAATTGCAGTAATTAGAAATAGAACTGCTTTTGTCTTGATGAAATACTACCCATATCAAGGACCCTAGTGGTTATGGTGGTAATAATCATAGAATAAAAGTTTATAATTTCTGTTGCTTTTATGGCCATACAATTCCATGAACCAAAACTTAAATCATCACAGTGAAAACAAACAAATGCACACTCCCACCCCCACCCCCAAGGAATATGAGAATATATTGGAACCATCACTCAGATAGGAAGCTTTTTTGAGTACTTTTGTTAAAGCATATTCACAGGATTAAGTTAAAAGAAGTTCTAATTTCTGCTTGGCTACTATTGTTCTGTAAATAATATTGGATAACTGCATTCCAAAGTGTTTCAGGTAAGCAACTTCTTGGGTGAAAAAGGGATTATGATGCATGAAGCATTTCATCTTATTTGTCTTATTGTTGTTTTTCCTTTGTATAGCTTGAGGAAGGGGGTGGATATTTGTGGAGAAAACACAGAGACACACAGAAACATATCTGGCTTTGAATAAGTTCATGTTCCAGAAGGGTGATTAAAAGACTCTCTGATATAAGTTAGCACTGTACAACCAGTTTTTTTCTAGGGCAACTTCCATTTCCTAAGGAAATCCTAGCCTTATGATATCTCATTCTGTTTGACATGGCTACTTTTAAATGAGAAAAAGTAGGAGAAAGGATCTGGAAGAGGTCCAGTTCTAATCTCACCTGATTTAGGTCATCAGTTTAGCATATCAGACACACAACTACATGAACATGTGGTAGCTGACTGATAATTGTAGCCAAACTCAACCTCTTGGGACTATATAGACATATCCACTTGTTTTCTTCACAATATGGATATAGTCATTACCTCTTTCTCAGATGGATGTCCTGGTAGTCTCCCAACTAAGTATTAATCAGGCCTAATTCTGCTTAGCTTTGTTGAGATCAGTCAAGAACAACTAGGTTCTGCCATCTGCTAAGAAAAAGGCTGTTTTAAATGCCTTAATTTCGGCAAGTAAAAAGTACCTATGCATGCATCCTTCAGTATCTGAGTACACACATCTGGGCAACCTATCTCAAATATCCAGGGTACTGGATTTGAAGATAAATTTGCTTTGCATATGAAAATCTGGTATAATTGTTGTATTTGCAATAATTATAACCTTTAACTGAGCCCTAAACTTTAAGTTACTAGAAATAGATGCAGTGAGTGCTGTATAGACCGGCATCTGAGCATGAAAACTGATGTCCATCACCACAAAACTGAGAATCATAGCACTTTCTGATCTTGCCTAAATAGCACTTTCTTTTGCATGAATCCTGCAAATGTTTTTGATATGAAGACTTCAGTGCAGCTGCTAAATTCAACCCTTGCAATTAATGTTCTTTCAGACAGGTATGATGCCCAGCTGAATGGCCACCCTACAGATAAAAAAAGGATGCAAATTAGTATTAAAAGAACCATACAGTGCTTGCCACAGACTGCTGTGACAGCAAGAGCAGAGTTTGCAGCTAAGAGCACAGCATCTTAGTAATTTGCCACTTCTTCTGTCTTTCAATTTGATTTTTGCAGACTGGTTTGCTTAATTTATTTCCCTTAGTTCATCTAATTATTAGGTAGAAAGTATTCTTGTGCAGTCCTGGAGAGACTCCACTATTTTCCTTAAATTATTCTGGTACTGATACATATTAATTTGGATAAACCTGCTCTAGGGGATGAGTAGGGGAAAAATACAATCTTGGCAGATGGTCACAGAACTCAAATCACAACCATTTTTAGTTTGAGCACAAAGGTGGGGCAGGAAGAGCAATACGTAATGACAGATATTAGGTCTTCTAACAGGGGAAAGAGTTTGGTCTCTGTGTGGGAAATCTTCAGTGCATCCTTTTACAGGGAAGGACCATAGGGCAGGCAAAAGATACCTTATTCAATCTCAACTGAAAGGGCCTAGGTAATAAGAATGGAGAGACCCCTGGCACTATCACTAACACGTTAACGTTTGAATAGCTACTGTAAATATCTAACTTTGTGGACTAATGCATTGTCTTGTTAAGAACAGCTTCATATGTTCATATGATGGTGCTCATGTAGTGCAGCTAAAGTTAAACATCCTTAGGAAGAAGAAGAATTACTTGTCTAGAAGTCACCTAAGTAGCTCGGCTGAAGTTGGCCTTGGCATCTCAATAAACAACCTCCGATGTATCTTTTCTAACCATGCAGAGATTAACCAACATTAGAAGTGCAAATTGAAGATCTCTTTTCTGAGAGAAATGAATGCCAAATAATAGAGATATTACTGAGTGTCCTTGATCAATATTGTCCTCTCCTCACTTTTTATTGGAATAATAACAAACAGCAGCAATGTTCTTATATCCTTCCAACAACCCAAAACTCTGCTTGTACTTTTCACTGCTGCCGTGGAAGAAGAGAAACTTGGCAAACCATTATAGGCTATTCAGCAGCAGCATTTTTCACTTCACTCAGTGACCCTTTCCTAGATAGGTGCTTGTTAATGAAAGCTCACGCAATATGCTTAACAGACTTTTAGATGTTATATGAAGGTTTTGTGTGGGCAATTTGGGAGTCGAGAAGTTCTGATTCCCGTGCCTGCTTGACTGCATATTTGTGAGTGACTGATGCATATTTGACCTGCCCCTTGATGTAGACTATGTCAGCACCCTATGGACTTGCCAATTACAGATAGTGCAAATGCAGCCTAAGGCATCAAATTTCCTGTGCATGTGAATACGGTATATAAAACCCGCAGGTACTGCAGATAGTTGGGCTAGCTCTGCTTTGGATATCTTTCTCTTTAATTAAATTGTAATCCACCTGGAAAAAAATCCTTCTTGCAAAAAAAGGGGGAAAAAACACACCCGCCCCATTTGAGTTTTTAGATCTGATGACTGGGTAGATGAATCGTCTGCAAAACATTTTTGTTTTTAAAATCATGGCTCAAAGTGTATCACGAGCAGTTAAATTGTGTAATAATTAATACATAGATGCAGAACAGAGCATGAAAGCGTGCACTGCTTACCCAAATGGGAACCTTGCTTATGGGTGTAGAAATGTCTTTGATTTATTTCAAAGAGTCTTTAATGGAAATGTCTGCTTCAATGGTAACTCTAGGATGAGATCCCTCTAATCTTTTGCTCTGTGCATTTTGTTCTTTTTCTTCCTTTCTGTAGAACCATGTAAGGAAAGCTGCTGTGGCTAGAGACGCACACAGGGAGTTTTGAGATATATGCTCCCTTTCTTCCTTGCTCTTCTCCACAGGATGGAACAGAGAAAGCTCTGGCCTCGGACATGGGACTCCGATGGCTGGTCAGTGGCCTTGGTGTTTCTTTTCTTAGTCTTTTCACAGAATATCAACAGCACTCCTGTCTATAATACATTTCATCCTGAGAACCGTGACTGGACTTTCAATCACTTGACAGTGCATGAGACCACTGGGGCAGTCTATGTAGGAGCCATCAATCGGGTTTACAAGCTGTCTGGAAACTTGACTGTCTTGGTAGATCACAAGACAGGACCTGAGGAGGACAACAAGTCCTGCTACCCACCACTTATTGTACAACCCTGTACTGAGATCTTGACTCTGACAAACAACGTTAACAAACTGCTGATCATTGATTATTCAGAAAACAGGCTGCTGGCCTGTGGGAGTCTCTATCAAGGAGTCTGCAAATTGCTGCGCCTGGATGACCTCTTCATCTTGGTGGAGCCATCTCACAAGAAAGAACACTATCTTTCCAGCGTTAACAAGACTGGCACCATGTATGGAGTTATAGTTCGTTCTGAGGGAGAGGATGGGAAGCTGTTCATTGGCACAGCAGTGGATGGTAAGCAGGATTACTTTCCCACTCTCTCCAGCCGGAAGCTGCCACGTGACCCAGAATCCTCAGCGATGTTGGATTATGAGCTCCACAGTGATTTTGTGTCATCCCTAATCAAAATCCCTTCAGATACACTGGCCTTGGTCTCTCACTTTGACATCTTCTATATCTATGGATTTGCCAGTGGAAATTTTGTCTATTTTCTGACTGTCCAGCCAGAGACTCCTGAAGGCGTGTCTATCAATTCAGCTAATGACCTTTTCTACACATCTCGGATTGTGCGTCTCTGCAAGGATGACCCTAAGTTCCACTCTTATGTTTCTCTGCCCTTTGGTTGTGTCAAAGGTGATGTGGAATACCGTCTACTACAGGCAGCTTATCTTTCTAAGCCAGGGGAGGTGCTTGCCAGATCCCTGAATATCACTGCCCAGGACGACGTCCTTCTTGCCATTTTTTCCAAAGGACAAAAGCAATATCACCACCCCCCTGATGATTCTGCTCTTTGCATCTTTCCCATCCGTACTATCAATGCCCAGATTAAGGAACGGCTACAATCTTGCTACCAAGGGGAAGGCAACTTGGAACTCAACTGGCTGCTAGGGAAAGATGTTCAATGTACCAAGGCGGTAAGAATGATCACTGTATTTTAAATAAACTTACTTTAGAAAAAGGTATGGAAAATATTAGCAGTAGCAATGTTAGAAATTCTGGAATCTAAGAATATTCTTTGGCAAGTAGCTTGAGGAGAAATCCTCTGAAGGAGAAAACAGATATAAGTGCTAGCTCAGGTCTTGACTTATCTCAGGACAATGTTTTTTCAACATGTTTTCAGGTAGGAGGTAAAAAGACTACTGCTGAAGTTTCAACTTGACTTACCCATTATGTAGAATAGGTATGAATGGGAATGTTCAAACATTTTCCCACTTACAGGTGTTTCTGCCTGAAATTGAAAACTGTAATTCATTCATTTATCGTGATAGGTGATTTTTTTTAATGGCTAAAGGTCATTTTGTTACTAAAGCAATGGGGGACAAAAGAAAAAAGTAATTGGTTTGAAGATTCTCTCTCTCTCTCTCTCTCCCTCCCTCCCTCCCTCACTCCCCTGTGGGTGGTATGCGAGATCTGGGAGTCTGAGGGTTCTGCACAGTATTGTAGCTGTTCCCGGCACTGCACTCTTCTAGACAGAGAGCTCTGATGTTGTTCCTGGGATCTGTTAGAGCCACTCTCCCAGCTTAGAAGTCACAGCCCTGAGTGCTCATATCACCACCACTTTGGCCTTTACTTTCCACATCCTCTCTAGCTCCTCCTTCAGGCCCTGGTATTTCTCCAGCTTCTCATATTCCTTCTTCCTGATGTTGCTGTCACTTGGCACCACTACATACATACATACATACATACATACATACATACATACATCTATCTATCTATCTATCTATCTATCTATCTATCTATCTATCTATCATCTATCTATCTATCTATCTATCTATCTATCTATCTATCTATCTATCTATCTATCTATCAAAGAAACTCAAGATTCCTGTGAACAAACTTCAAACATTATTGACAATTGTAATGACATTTTATCCTCTTGGTCTTGATTAATACAGCTGCCCTAGGATGATAAATACAAGAGAATTGTGACCGTCTTGCCTTGGTCAGAATAAAAACAAATAGATTTCTAGTATCATAGCATATAAAGAAAATGGAGTGGTTCTTAGAGGCATTGCTTTTAATGTTTTACATGCATGCAGCCTGACTGCACTCCTGGAATAATCAATAGTGTTAACATGAAGTTCCTTCACTCGTATTCTGCTTTTGTGCCCCTCAAGTATTTGGTTGATGGGGAATGGGGAATAGGATGCTTAACAAGACAGACTGATTAGGCAAGGAGAGTTTTTCTACTGGTTGTTTAGGATAGCCTTCTCCAACCTATTGCTCTCCAAAATATTCAACTGCATTTCCTATTACTGACAGCAAGTATAATCTAGTCTAACACACTTCAAATGCAGTAAGATAGTTTGTTTACAGCATTCTGGTGGAATAAAATGATGCAGTCATCCCTGCTGCTATTCCTCCAGTTGCCTTGTCCCTAACTAGCTCCTTGTTAGAAAGGCTGTCAGAAAGAATGGAATGTGAATGCTTCTTATCAAAGCCGACTGTTGTGTGGGATGGAATGGGCTGTTTTTAGGAAAAGACAGAACGGCCACAAGAAGAAAATCACAATTTGTTTTCTTCTTCAGAGTTCAGGGACCTGGATTACTTTTAACTTGCCACTAACCATCAAGTCATTCTTCTTTTGGGATGACTGGGAAGAAACAGGAAATATATTATTGCATTGCTTTATTGCTGATGCTGGTTTATATTGTATAATTATATTTATTTACCAGTACTGCACTTAATTATTAGTATACACAAAATAAAAATTACTCCTCCTCCTCCCTGGCTTCAGCCATCATATCTCTGCTAGATTCATCCCTCCCTCCCTCCCTCCCTCCCTCCCTC